CCCATAATCTCATACATTTTGTTTTTTAGTCAAGTTTATCCATAATTACAACCCCTGTGCCTTAGTCAGGTTTTAGCACCAACACATCTCTTGCCTTCAGATCACGTAGGGCTTTGATGTGACTTCAGGTTTGGTGTATCGGGACCACCATGTAACCGTTAGCAATGTCAACGAACTTAACCTTTAGCCAGTTGTGCTGTTCCTTAGTCGTCGGGGTCAATTTAGATAGTTGGTCCAGTAGGTTTTCAAACTGAGTCTCAATGTGTATTTGATCGACCTTCTTTGGGGGAAGCTTAAAATTCATGCCCAATGACAAAGCTTCAATTTGTTTTCTGTTCAACAATACGGAAGACAGCTTGTATACATGTTTCTGTAGGTTGTCGGAAAATACGGGTTCTTCATTTATGTATTCAAGTGATATACGTAGGGCCTTGTCCACTTTCCTCCATTTGACCCGGTATTGGCTGACATCGTCATGACGATGGTTGAAATGAGATGTGAGCCGCACATCAACCAAATGTGTTTATACAGGCGAAATGTAGATGACACACTAGTGATCGCCCCAAGTGGGCACGCTGTTCTATCTCTTCTCAATGTGCCAGATAACGCACATCCAAACACCCGTTTCACCTGTAAACTGGCGGACAACAATTGCTTTCCTTTTTTGATGTGTTGTTGATCAGACGCAAAGACGGCTCCATAAAGCGTTCTGTTCACAGGAAAGCTACATGGACGAGATTGTATGAACACTTCAACAGCTTCGCCCCTATCCAATACCAGCGGTGCTTAGACAATACGCTGTTTATTCGAGCCCCCAGATTATGCACTGACGACAGTTTCGAATCGGAATTACTGTTCATCAAACAGACGCTATGGGCCAACGGCTATCCAAAGGCGTTTATTCAATTTCCCAGTCAACTAAATGAAAACCTACCGAGGGCACTTACTTTGCAAAAACTGCTTGCCTACCTTCATTCGCCTTTCAAATGTGATATCCTGGCCGCACAACTTGAAAAACGTTTGCATACAGCGATTCGCCGAACATTCAATGCCGCCAAATTCTGCCCCATTTAGGAGACCAGGGAGTTGCGGATGGCTCCAGTGAAGGTTAATTAATCGATCTCCGCCACAACCCATTGGATGAACCAATTCGTTTGTAACTGCGGTAGTAGTTACATTGGCAGAATAGATCGATCCTTGGGTAAGCGCATTGGAGAGCATATCCCAAAACGGATTGCTAAACTATCGACACAACAAGCAGTCGAACAAGAAAAGGTATCTAAGCTGCCGGCATCATCTATCGCCAGACATCTAATCGAAACAGGCCATCAGCTTGACCCTGGGTCAACATTTACAGTTATCTATCGAAATGAAAATCCCAAAGTTTTGAGGTTCGCCGAAGCTGTGGCACTTAACCGGCATCGCCCTATCCTTTGTGTACAGAAACAATTAACAGTCTCCCTAAAGCTTCCTTGGAGCTTATGACCCTAAGATCAAGTTCGTCGATCTGTTATTCTTGCGTCTACGTAATTTTCCTTTGTGACCAGTTTCAAACCTTCGATTTTTCTGTCACGTGATTCATATTTATGTTGTTAGTTTGCGAGTGAGCAGATAACACGAAATGGTTCCATCTCGCAATGCCAGTCTTCTCATTGTCTTATTTGGAACGTAATCTGTGTCGGTTACGCGATCGCTTGCGTTTAGCGTGATACCAAACTCTTCATCGCTTCTAACGCTCCCAACAGACGCCCTCGATCGCATAGTTGTACAGAAACGAGGACAAAGGGCATTCTTTTCACATATCACTGGTGGTAGGGAAGTGTGGCGAATGCTTGCCGTAGGCTGTCACCCTACCTGAAGTGTGGAGATAAAGTGCCCGATGTATAGTAACGTACTTTTCGGGAATTTCATTCATATGCATGCATCATCATAAACAGGTCCGGCTACTGAGTTGAATGCAGTCCGACTCTCCAAGAAGGCAACTATGGGGTGTTTGTGGTGTGGGTGACTATGTTCGAGGAGGTGACGAAGTGTACACCTTTGATCTACACATCTCCGAACGGGGCGAGAACCAGCCTGCTCCTCATAGCGTGATTCACGCGTTGGGGCTAGCGTGCGGAGCATAATGGATGCTAGTATCTTAGAAGCAACCGATGTCAGACTGATCCCCTATGATTGGTGCATGAAGTACGGGAAGCTTTGAATATTGGGATTATTACTGACTCTCCTCAAGTTGATTGTTCCCTTTCTCCTTGTCATATGTTTGGGATAGGGATGTTAACTGATTGACAACTGCCGTGTCACGTACTTGAACTATTCTGAGAGAAGTTCATCTGATTCGTCTGCCTTCAAGCGCTTCAGTTGTCGGATGTCGAGACAAACCTCCGCTTCAGTGGGAGTTCTAGTGACACTAACCATCACGTGCGACCGGTGTGCTAGGTGCAAGGTTGGACGGCTGGGAGCATCTGAACAGAGACTGAGAATTCCCAGCCCATCCATTCATAGGTCTCTATAAGTTAGTGTTTTGTGACCCATCCGGCTGGCTGATGACTTCGCTGATATCAGACCTTTCTTCGGTGTTCTGAATTAGTTCGAGTCAAGTCAAGTCAGGTATTTTCTTTATGCACGCTGGGCAGGTGAATATCCAGCTACAACACACGCGATCTCAACAATGTATCAAACGGTAAACCAGTTAGGAAACAGCACTATATAAATTGGTTTAATAAAGAATAAACAGGAACGCCACCATAACGCGAATCGACTGCTTAGTTCTAGAACGACAGTTAGTGTGTAGGGGAAATGCTATAGATAAGGTATAACCGACGAACGGTAGGCCTGTGTGTGCGCATATATTAGCTTATTTCTATGTCTAGTAGACGAAATTGACAAACTCGGCTAAAGTTCTATTAACGGAAGGAATGGTTTTCTTTGCCGGATGTAGGATGGTGAAAGTTGGCAGCGGGAACTGAAGTCACTGCCTGCAAAACTTGGTACCATCGATCCGTCTCGCCTGCTGTTTGTGACGGTATGTTGTTAACAAAGTCTGAGCGCACAAACCAGCGTGTGGTCTGAATCAAAACAAATTGTCAAATATGGTCCACATTTGTAACTGATCGCAATATAGTCTATTTGAGACCAAGGTTTTATTGGTAAAGGGAGACGCCGGGTGCCTTGTGAATTGCTTGAATTTTGTGCTTGCGAGAAGCAGGCGGTCATCTTCACACCAAGTGCGAATTCTGGTTCCATTGTCCAAGCGATTCTCAAGTTGTGCATGCACCTAGATGAATTTCTCCTGCTAACGGGCGACCAACTCATGCGTTGAACTTTCCTGCGAGGACAAGGACATTTGATTTGTCGGTTTTACATAACAGCTAATGGAGTTGGTGATTTACATCTACCATCGGTTGGCGCATAAGCGTGGACCACAAACAAGTTGCGTCGTGCGTGATGCCTGTTTACCCTGCTTGCGCATTGAAGCCGAACTATGCATAGTCGGCTGTTGACCGGAAACCAATCCAGTAATGTGGCTTTGTCGCTTAATGTCACGTTAACGTCAGCCAAAGCAGATGCTCCCGCACCACCAGACATACTCAGCTTGTATGTGGCTTCCCGGTTGATCGGAAATGTCAATTTTGACAGTGTTTGGGTTTTGCAACCGTGTTTCAACAGCAGCAGATATCAATGTCGAGGGAACTTTATGTACGTGCCATGCCAGCCTTTTGCCCGATCTGCATAAACGTCCGAACATTAGTTACCAGCCGAAGCGAAGAGCGGGCTCGAAGGATAGCCTCGAGCCAAACTCTCTGGGTAGTCTTGAAACTGGGGTATGGATTAAATCAAGAGTAACAGGGATTAATGACATAGTAGTGGTTATCATGTGATGGAGTTTGGTAGGAAGCAGCAGAGACTGGATCGAGAGAGAGCAGCGAAGTAGTAGTCTAACCCATGGTTTATGCAGAGGACGCGATGTTTTCCCATGCTGAAGTGGCGGGTCGACTTAGGGGTCTCCATCCTGAGCCTTTGGCTCAACAGCCTACTTGCAAGTCAGTGGGTCGAATTCAGGGAATCGCGCTCATTGGGTGCTGGTGACCGGTCTCTCGATTCACACGCCTCCCGTTTGGTGAGTTATCAAACAGGGGCCCAGTCTCCCCATAATAATAGCATCTAGCTGCTAGAATACAATGTTCCACCGGAGTGAGACAAGGAGCAGTGACTTTACCTGGTGGCGAGTCATATCCACCACGTCGCAGTGTTTTCAGACAGACATGTATCAGAAAAGTGCGTGTTGTCCGCTCTAAAACACTTCACTCGACGACACGTTTCGATCTCATTTGATCTTATCAGGTGGAGTTAGCTGGCCTCGATCCCGGGACCATTAAGGTCAATTGATGTCGACACGCATAGTGCATTGCAGTGTTTCCGTGCGGACGCACCCCATTTCCAATCGCTTCAGTTTGGTTCAAGGTCTGCATTGAGACTGCATCGTAATCTATTCACATGTGCACTTCAAAATGACCCTCCAATCAGACGTATGTGTCATTTTATGGTGAAAACGTCTGCCAGGCGAATACCCACATCGTCATGGAACACTATCGCGAAACCATTTGCTGGAACGGGATAAACCCGAGCACCCAGCTTGCACGACGAGGTTGTTCGATGAACCAGCTGTAGAAGTTATATGGAGGCAGTTGGCCAGCCAACATGAAAAAACATCTATTGGAATACATCTTTGCTTCGCATCACGACGCATGGCAGTGCTCTTCTAATGTGTATCATATGGCATTTACAACGTCTAGATACTAGTCCGATGCTCTTTGCTGAGGTCACATTTCTATAGTGTTGCCTGCTCGGTTACTGCCTATCACTTGCGACAAAAGCCTTGAACCCGACCCGTGCAGAGAATTAATGACTAGTACTCTGAAAACACTGGTTTTTCAACCCCCTACGCTCGCACTCGCAGTCACTGGTAATGAAGAAATGTCTTTTATTTTACTCCGCAGGTCTACGTGCGTATTCGTCCTCATTTGTACGAGTTTTTATCCCGTGTCTCGGAAACCTTCGAAGTGGTTCTATTCACTGCTAGCACACGGGTGTACGCTGATCGCCTGGTCAATTTAATTGACCCAAAAAAGAAGTGGATCAAGTAAGCTTGTCTTTCACAATTTTGGATCATTTACACGCGATTCTTCCTATTAATCGCCACCTTTCTTACTCAACCGTTTTGGGTGTCCTACATAAAAAATTTTGTTCGGGATGTACCACTGATTCTTCGGGTAATTATTCCGTGCAAGCCATACTTGTTTTGTCCTGGCCTTATTTCCCCACTCCATTCCTGTGCACATTTAGGCAAATACAGTTTTCGCATTTAGCTTTCACTGAGGGGTCTGTTGTGCTGCTAATCACAATTTTGTCTATCCGATTGGGGGTTGTGTGAACGTGTTTGGCTTGCTCCCTTATCCAATGTTCGGAGTATGTAGAGCTCTCCACTGTCCACCTAAAATTGCTCGACGTAGCAGTCTACCAAACCGCCCAATTCCTCTTTTATCGTTTCGCGCTATCAGCGTCATTTTACGCGTTAGCTTAAAGCGAGAACATTTCAACTACTCTATCGCAATACCGTGCAACCAAGAATGAGGCCATAGTTGGAAGTGGAGGAGGCTAAGCGGGAGAGGACAAGAAAACGCACAGTACGGATGCCACTCGGTCAAAAAGTGTTACCATTCAAACATGTTCATTGTCTTTGGGACCCCAACCCCAGGAATCGGGAGACACTAACCGGGACCAAGTTCGAAGTTAGAGCCTTCATTCCATTTGATCAAAGCATCGGTTTACCTCATCTTCCACCCACGCTGCATTCGCACCGGAGTCACTGTGTTGACATGCGTAGCACTTTGACTAGCTGTTGGAGCGGTGTAAGGCAAGTATGCCCGCTGTTAGCTTTCCTCTTCAACTTCGCTGTTGACGAAGTCATTTAATCGCGTTCACAGAACAGAGTTAGAAGGTGTGGAGCATCTCCCTGGAGAACGACTTTTTGACTTAGAGTATGCGGACGATATTGCCCTCATCTGTGACAGCTCCCAGACGTGTCAAGCTGCACTGAGCAGATTAATATTGACTGTCAGCCGCTTCGGGCTTCGCTTCGCACCCTCGCAGTGCAAAGCTTTCCTCCAAGATTGGCCCGCGCTGACCCTTGATGGGGATCAGCTAGAAGTCGTTCCAAAATTCAACTATCTGGTAAGTTGTATCAGGATTGAGGATGAGATAACGCATGGTATAACAAAAGCTCGGGGCACTTTTGCTAATCTTTGCCACTCATGGCGCCGGCGCGACATCACTGTCACCCTGAAGGGTAGAGTGTACAATACAGCAGTACGTTCGACCCTACTGTACAGTTGTGAAACCTGGCCCCTTAGATCAGCGGACATAAAGAGGCTAGTTAGGTTCGACCACCGGTGCTTTCGCAGTTTGGCTCACATCTGGTGGGAACACCGCGTGAGTAACGAGCGTGTTCGACGCCTTGTTTACGGCAAAAGAAAAGGTAATGAACCACTCAGCACCGTTATTTCCCACGCCAGGCTCCTATGCTTCGGCCACGTTTTACGCATTCCAGCCCACCGACTCCCGCGGCGTGCGTTGTTTACGCGCCGTGGGTGTGGATGGAAGAAGAGGGGGGTTGCCAAGCGATGACTTGGTGGAGAGGAATGAAGGCCCTCATTTCGAAGCTGGCCTTGATTGAAGAGTCTCGACTCCCTGGTGGGGGTCAGAAAGACGATGAACAGATTTGACTGGACACACTTGCTGATATGGCTAGGAGCCGACCTCAATGTCGTTCGTGCTGTGAGTTTCTTTGTCCCACCCCATCCCTCTTAACCGTCCCCTCCAACCACGATCTCACTTCTTAACCTAATATAATTTTGCATAATAACTTTTTTGCCGCATAGTGCCCGGCTGGTAGTTTTCCCGAACGATCCCATCCGTTACTAGTACGTCAGCTGGCATGCATCTGTTGCTTTTTTTCTTTTTTTAAATATTGCGGCACAGTAGTTGAGGTGTTTCTCACCTCTAGCTAACACGTCTGATGATGATGGTGACGACGATGATGATGATGATGATGATGATGATGATGATGATGATGATGATGATGATGATGATGATGATGATGATGATGATGATGATGATGATGATGATGATGATGATGATGATGATGATGATGATGATGATGATGATGATGATGATGATGATGATGATGATGATGATGATGATGATGATGATGATGATGATGATGATGATGATGATGATGATGATGATGATGATGATGATGATGATGATGATGATGATGATGATGATGATGATGATGATGATGATGATGATGATGATGATGATGATGATGATGATGATGATGATGATGATGATGATGATGATGATGATGATGATGATGATGATGATGATGATGATGATGATGATGATGATGATGATGATAGTGGTGGTGGTGGTGGTGATGAGGAGAAGGAGGTGGAGGATTATGAAGATAAGGATGAGGATGATGTCGGAGCCTGGCGTTTGAGCGTTCCGTTTGCTGCTTTGTGCCATATACGGGACGGCGTACCCGCTGATTGCGCACGTGCTAAACTGCGACGCTATCAATAATTGAAGACAATTATCCCACCGCCGAAATTGACTGCAGCTCTATGCTCACAGTGCACTGGAATTGTCCAGTTTCCCAGCGCGACGAGCACTCACCCACCCCTTGCTACGAGTTTTTCCACTTATTACTTCAGCACTAATCAAGAAGCTATTTTCACTCCTTTGCCGGATTAGCCTACGCATTGCCATTACCATATTACTCGTTACTTTCCTTTATGTGCTTTTCTCACTTTTCCTCACAGACACAGATTGTTTCGTGAACATTGTGCCTTTGTAAATGGGAATTACGTGAAGGATCTTCGAGTGTTGGGCCGTGATTTGCGAAAAACCGTGATCGTAGACAATTCACCTCAATCCTTCGGTTACCAGGTTAGATCATCTTGCTTTTTTTCTTCTGCCACAGATCTATATCACACTAAGTTATCATTGAAGCCTGTTAGTGCCTTATCAGTCATAACCGCATGCACTGCTTCTCACGCGGAAATTGTAAGCTGTTTGCTTCTCTTTCTGCCTCATTCCCCCTACTGACGGTGGGACAAAGAGGTCTATATCAGTTCACGGTCTGTGATAGCACAATGTTTCATGAAGGCTGTTTGAAATCGTTTAAGTGTCCAGATTGTGAAGTCAAAATAGCTACTGGACCCCTGGTTTTTTTACTCATCGTACGGTAGAACAAAACATTTCTTATTTGTGTGTGTCTGAAATGTCTAATGTCTAACAATGCAGCGCTGATGTGTTTGATGTTATTGAGGAATGCTGTAACCTCGTATCTGGTCCAGCTTCAAGTCTATTGCAGTACTTTGTTTTTGTATAGCTATAATGCGAAAATGCACTTCCACACATATAAGTCGTGGCAAATGGGGGAAACACGGGAACATTTGTCTTTGCTATGTCAGAGTACTCTACGTTCGTGTTACAGACAGAGACACTTGAAACTACCCCGCAACAATAGACTGATATTATGTCGAAGAGTTTCTCTTACTGAAGGTATTTGGAAGGATGAGTTCGTGCAGATAACTGGGTTCTTGACCCATAAAATTTTCCTCATTCGCTGTGGAAAGGCTACTGCAAGATCCTGCAAATGCTGCACAATTTCTTTAGACATCCTCTTGGATTTTTTAGCCCTTTCATCGCTTCTAAAATGTCTTTATTGCCGGAAAGCTCACAATATCTCCACTGCAAACAGAAATCGCCCAAAAGTCTCCTTTTCTTCCAAATCCTCGACGTTTATGATTTGCGCTGAACCTGCTCGTAGATTTACGTCATTTTTGCGAATCGGACAGCACAAGCCTTGTAAACTACGCATCTATCCTGAGGTCCTTTAGAGCGCGCGTCAGTCGAAAGAAACATCTCGTATGGACGCACTACGCCGGGTTTTCTGAACGCAATCTTTATTTCTGGTGTGCCAGAACTTCCCACGATAGTCCTGAGGTCGGTAATCACGATTGGGAACTGTGGCGGTACATTCGTGAAACACTCCTTGGACAATGTTGTGGTGCGACCCCTCAAATTATAGAGGAAGCGGATCAAGTATCCTAAAACTTCTGATTCAGACAGCGACAGAAGCGTTAGAACCTTGGCGAAGACATTGGGAAGGCCTTCCATCTGAACTTCGGTTAAAAGCTGCTGAAGCCTTGCAAAGACTAGACATGAGCCTACCTGAAAAAGCAAACCTACCAGCGATTACGCAGGGGCACCACTTTACCACTCGATCACACAATTCCGCATTATGTCCGGACGAAGAATGGTATGGACCTTGGCCAACTCAGTTTGCGAACGACGTGTCATCATCATTTCATCAACAATAACAAAAAATAACGGCCGACCTCACATCGGCATTCTACCACACTTGACTCCTTTGGCTCTCCGCGAGATCCTAGAGATCGAGAAACTATCCCTTCTATCAATGCTCAAGGCCTTTTCAATAAGCTGGCGGAACTGCAAAATCGCCAAATTTCGAAGCTATGCGATATTATCGGTATCACGGAGACATAGTTGCACAGTGGAATGATGGAGGCTGAAGTCTCGCTGCCGGGCATGTCAGTTATACGAAACTGCGGGCTTACGAAAGGAGGAGGGGTAATTCTGTGTTACTGAAGCGACCTATAGTGTGAAGCCGTATAGGATTCGGTTCGCCGATTCCCTTTGATGCTGCCTGCAATTACATGGCAAACACACCTACCTTATAGCTTGGGTGTACCTTCCCCCAAACTCTACACCGGAAATGGACTGCCTGCTTCCGACAGCTAGAAGATGCAGTCTAAACCGAAAGCACACTGTCCCTTATCATTTGTGATTTCAACGTACACTGTTTAGAAACCCATGATGCAATCGGAGAACCATTAAAAGCAGATCTACAAGTGCTTACAGCCAGTGTTCCACTTTACAATCACATCATTATGCCCACTCGTTTCAGAACAGGTAATAGACCATCATTGCTGATTCTTGTATTCACCAACGAGCGACATATGATTGATGTATTGATTCTAGCATGCCCTTTGGGTAGCAGTGGTCATGCGGTCATCAGTTTCGACTTCATCTGCTATGCGGAATATCGCCACCAGAACACTGAGATTGTGTGCACCATTACACGCTACGACCGCTTAGCCCAGCTGGTCAGTGCTCCAACCTGGTCATTTCTCACTGAAGATCACCCGAAAGTCGCTTGGCTCGAATTCGTCAACAAATTCAACCAACTGGTTACGGGTGCCTCAGAAATAAGGGTTTTCAATGGGCCTAAAACCGTTGTTTTTCGTGATCAGCAGAACTAGAAAGTGAATGACTGTACGCAACGCGGCCTGGTGAGAGTGCGGAACATCAACAACGCCAGATAATTGGAAAAACTACTTAGCCCATCGTAACCACTGCACTCAACTGCTCAGAGATGGCAAAGTCGCATATCCGTAAAAGGTGGCGAAAACTTTCATCACTAACTACAAACTTCTGTACAACTATGTCAATGGCCGTCGTAAGGTGAGACAGGGAATTCCTCCGCTCCGGACGACTGATGGTCCAACTAGAACAGCTATAGAAGCAGCAAACGCGTTGCGGACGCAATATGCTCCCACATTTCAGAGGGTCTTACCATCAGGCCATCTTCCAACTTTTGTTTTCCTGCCTCCAGGACTCACTCGCATCACTTTTACTGCCGAAGCTCTATTGCAAAGTTGACGTCTCTGCGCAAACACAGCTCCCCGGGAGTCGACACCATTCGCCCAGAGGCACTGGGAGCAGCAGCAAGACAACTGGCAAAACCTTTGGCCCAGTAATTCAGCGCTGCTTAGACCAGAACCAGATTCCTGCGATGTGGAAGCTTGGAATAATAACTCCGATTAACAAAACCGGAAGCAGTACTGAGCCCTCAAACTACCGCCCAGTGTCTCTTCTCCCTGTATTGTCCAAGTTCATGGAATCTATCGTTGCTTATGCGTTGGTGTGTTATCTAGAAAATTGTAACATTATTGCACCTGAGCAACACGACTTTCGTCGACAGCGATCGTGCACAACGAATTTATTAATCACACGGAGTAGTTGGACCGAGTCAGCTTACGCTGGGGAGGCCGTTGTATTTATTGAAGGCATTCGATCGTTTAGATCATACGATTTTTTCCAAACTCCAATATTATGGGATCGGTCACCCTCACTTGAGCTGGATCGTCAACTTTCTCCTGTAACGACAATTAGTGCTTAGAGTCCGGAGTTCCTTATCTGAACCCATACCAGTCGAGTCTGGTATGCTCCGGGGCTCAGTTCTAGGTCCACGATTGCTTTTGATATTCACCAATGACCTTGCAGAGAAATCGCTTCAAATTTCCTGCTGTTTGCTGACGATATCAAGATATGGTGCAGGATTCAGGCAGATGCCGATCAGAATTCACCTCATTGTGACCTAGTTAGGATACATTGGTGGTCAACCCGAAATCTACTACAGTTCAACGTGGACAACTGCAAAGTACTCTCCATACGACACCTGAGTATATCTATTCCTACCATCTGGGAACACAAGTACTGCAACGGTCATCCGTCGAACGCTATCTTCGCCTGCTTGTTCAGGATTACTTGGGTTGTTCCATGCGATCCGCAAAAGCCTCGAAAACTGGTAACCAGCACGTCGGCTTGCTACGACGGGCGCTCAGACAACTAGACATCAGTATTTTCAGACGAATGCTGAATGCATATGTTCGACCCCATGTCGAACACGCAATCCAAGCCTGGCTTCCATGGCTGAAGCACGACCTTACTACACTGGACCAACCTCAACGTCGCACTTCCAAATACGTTATTGGACTGCGTCACCTTCCATAGGAGCAGAGGCTGAAACCTTCGGGAGTATTCAGCGGGCGTTATCGCCGATTACGTGAAGACTTCGTTATGGCGTACTTGATTTTCCACAATGCAAATCATGTGTGCCGCTCTTTGCTGCAACTCAGCAGTAATATCAAAATTAGAGGCCACTACTTGAAATTAGCAGCACAGTACAGCGTCTGGCGTGCCGTAGAAACTCCTTTTCCATTCGTGTGTGTCAACAAGGGAACGACCTTCCCAAATCGGTTTTTTCCGCACCCACACTAGCCATATTGAAAAGTTGGTTGGATGACGCACTTCGCCACTTACGTTTTGTTGCTTGACGCTACTCTTCGTCCTACTCCCGGGAAATACCTTGGATTTATTTTTTCGCCTATTGAAGCTATGGAAACACTTGGAGTGTATGGCTACTGTACTACACACGATAAGTCCATTCTTTAGACGGCTGAATCGCTAACTGCATATTTTCTCATTCCCGTTTTTCGATAACCCACCATACTACCCAACGGGCTTGTAAAGCAGTGCTTCTTAACTCGATAAACTCATTGTTCGTTGCCGAAGCCGACATCACGAAAACTACCTAGACAGGTCCGTTTGGTTTATTGGAGTATCTGCGCATGCCACTTGGTCTTAGAAATGCTGCTGAAAGTTTTCACCCATAATTGATCAAACATTTACTGCATGTGCTCACCGCAACTATTTCTTGTTTACTTGCCCCTCATGTGAAGAGCACTTGCGCCACTTCCGAACAGAGCTTGATCGCTTATCACCGAGACAGGTAAGGATCAACGAAGAAAAATATGCATTAGGTGTTGAATGGATCAATTTCTAAGGCCAACGTCATACCGCTGCAGAATATAATCAAAGGTTTACTCAAATATCTAGAGCCTCAATCATACAAACAACTCAGACGCTTCGAAGGGTTCGCTAGCTTCCATGACCGCTTATGCATCCCCTCACGTACCTTCTACCAGGGAATCCTCATTGACCCATTGTGCTATACTGGGTGATGCCTTCGGGCACCTTGTGAACTACTCCTACCAAGTTGGTCAATGGTGAGAGGTCAGACAAACTCAGACTCCTGGTCCTCCAGGTTGGGGGTTTGAAATGGGATGGCGTCCATTTCTGTGAAACTAAATCATTGCCACCTCCCCGCTGCCTTGCGGACAGGCTTTTGAGCCAAATGCTTTGCATGAGGACCCTAATTGTCCTCCTGTATAAGTCTGGGTGCCCTGGCAGTACCTCAGAGGAAGGTGAGACTGACTTACAAATTGTAAATTTTCGGGTGATCAAGAAGGGTGTACGAACCCGTATCAACCGGTTGCTCAACCTCCAGGCACGTCCTGCAGTACTTCGCTGTCTCGGAGCGGCCGGACGTTTTAGGACTTGCAGAAACTTGGCTGAACTCCGACGTCATACCCCAAGAAGTCGTGTTGTCAGAATACTCTTATTTCCGATGCGACCGAAAATCCAAGGCTCACGGTGGTGTTCTGTTGTACATAAAATCGTCACTATCAGGCAAACTTACCAGCACCTATCGGAGCCAGGATAGTTTATGCGAACAATTGTGGTGCACAATCCGCCTCAGCCGCGCAGAACTAATAGTGGTTGTTATCTATCGGAGCCCATTAAACCGTTGTTGCGATTGGCTACCACATGTACAGAAGCACATGAGCCGCCCTCAGTTCTTACTGATGGGGGATCTAAATTTACCTAAGATATTTTGGCCAGACGTTCGACTTCTTCCCGGTCATGGCAACGTTGAGGCACAATTCGCTAAAATGACTATTGAAATCGGGGCAACGCAACATGTCGTTCAACCGACGCGCGTAACTCCGTACTCGGCATCTTGTCTGGACCTAATATTTACGAGCTGCGATCAGAAGCTGAACGAGATCAGAGTCATCAAACCTCTGGCGAACAGTGACCACTGCTCTATTGGGGCAAGCTTAGAACCGTCGTTACCAAATTAAAATCAACGGAAGCCGACATTCAACTATTGGAAGACTGACTTCAACGGGCTCGTCCAAGCTGCAAGTCAGACTGGACACTACCACAAGATGCGTCACTTGAGACTTGTTGGTCATTAATGAAGGGTAAGCTTAACTCGCTCTGTACTCGGTTCGTTCCCCTTAAGTATCCAAAAATCGGACCTGTCAAACCGCATTGGTTTGATAGGGAATATAGACAGTTAGCGCGACGGCGTCGCAAACTTTGGGATAGATTACCTCAATTCGGGTTGTGATGAAGATTACACGGTGTACAAGAAACAGCGTAACTTATGTAACGTCGCAAAGATCAAGAAACGCCTACAGTTCGAAGAGGAGCTAGCATCCTCGACCACAACGGCATCCAAAAGAATACTTGCCTACTTGAAACGTCAACCGAAATCTGGGGGCGACATACCGGTTTTAGAGAGCTTAGACGGAAAGACGCACATTTCGAGCGCGGAGCGCGCGGACGCCTTGGCTACGCACTTCCTC